TTTACTGAAAGAGTGGTTAAACATTGGAAGAGGCTGCCCAGGGAAGTGGTTGAGTCCCCATCCCTGGAAGTATTTAAAAGACGTGTAGATGAGGCGCTTAGGGACATGGTTTAGTGGGCATGGTGGTGTTGGGTCAACAGTTGGACTCTATGACCTTGGAGGTCTTTTCCAACCTTAATGATTCTATGATTCTATGTCTGTAATGTGGAAAAAAATTACAATTTGTTTCAACAGAGTTTTTTAGACAAAACAAAGGTAGATGTTGCAAGCAGCTGCACTTACTTGAATTGTTTAGCTACTTAAAACACTGGAAGCGAAGTTTTCAAGACGTTTCAAGTCAACATTTGACTTTCCTTAGGTATTCAAAATGCAAGAGCAGTTCTATTCCACAGAATTCTTCTTTCAAAAAAAAAAAATCCCAGTCTAAGAAACATAGTCTGCAATACTAGGGACTTAGCTGAACCTGAGATTTGTCCTTACAGAAGGACAAAGGGATTGCAAGATTGTTTGCACTATTTGCCTTGCATGAAGAGCTGGAAGTGAGGAAGGAGAACAGTCTCCATAGGCCATCTACAGTCCAACATCAGGTGCATTAATGACGCTAGTCAAGCCTGTTTGACTCCTTCCTTCTTCTGGTCAGCTACCGTATGCAAAGGAATAAGCACAGAGATTAGTGACAAACTATTTTCCCAGAAGCAAGGGGAAAAGAACTATTTTGATCTTCTCCCCATTTTCCTCTAAAGCAGCATAATTTGATCTCCAGAGGATCCACAGAATTACAGCCCTGTAGAGTCACATGGAATATCAGCAACTTTCTTTCCCCAAATAAACCACAATCAATTAATCAGATCACTTCAGTGGTGAAGATGTATAAACAGTTGATTAATGTTTAATGTCAAACTATTTATAAAGAAAAAGAGGCAATAAATGGTGCATGAAAAAACCTGAGAACTCGGGGGAACAGAAGTCTTGCTTTCAGGTTTACAGCAGAACACCTGTGAAAAAACTCCTAAAAAGCAGCTGATTTTTCCCACTTTTGTGGAGAACAGTTTGTAAGAGAATCTTTGAAAATTTAAGCACTGTTTTGACATCTTACTCTGTATGTGTATTGAATTTGGATTAAATTCCTCTTTATCTGTCTGCAAATAATTTTTGTTAACATTTCATTATTTGATAACTGCAGGATCCGATTCTGATCATTACCCGAAGGCTAGAGCAACAAAGTTTAGAGAAATACTACACAGGTAAGTATTTGCATATTATGCATATCTATTAAAATGCATTTTCCAAAAACATGACACAATTAGAATCACAGGATAAATTAGGTTGGAAGGGACTTCTGGAATTCAGCCTCTGGTCAAAGCAGGGCCGGTTGTTCATGAACTTGTCCAGCTGAGTTTTGAATAGCTCCAAGGATGGAGATTTAAAGGCCACTTTGAGTAATGTCTTCCAGAGTTTAACCACTCTCAGTGTAAAATTTTTTCTCTTCTATCCAGTCAGAATTGCCCTTGCTGAGACTTGACTGTTGCTCTGGTCCTTTCATTCTACACTTCTGAGAAAGGTCTGGCTTTATTACTTTTTTATTCCTTAAACATGTTCTTTGTTAAAGCAAATAAAATACTAAAATTACAATCTGGGAACACTGGATTTTCTGTAAAGTTGTATCCATCTCTAAGTAATCAAAACTGGGCTGGGGAAATAGATCTGATAAACTCATTACAACCTACAAAAACAGTTACCTGAGGGCACCAGATTTGAAATGTATGCAGTCAGTAAATAACTGCCAGACAAGAAGCAGCTCCATCATTAGGACATCTACCTTTTCCATCATCTTCCTAAAGAGAGCAAGCTCTTGCACAGCACTTCTCTATCTTTGGAAAGGAAGAGAAGAAAGGAACCACACACAACTGTCCCCTTCCTCCACCAGTGTCCTACTTGCATCCTACCGGCATTGAGCTGCTAACACAAGCATTGATAAATAAAACACTCAGATTCCAGTCTGAGTGTTTTTTATAGATTTACAAAATCATAGCAATCCTACAATAACAGCCAACATTTTAATTTGGTACTGATAGCAATTTAGGCACTTGTTCTCAATTATGCTGACAGCTAAGTGGGAATGCGTGTGTACATAGGTTTTTATTGAGAATATTGCTATCACTTTGTGTTGCTATCATCTTACTGTCTTAGAACCCTTGTGGTCATCAGATAAGGGTAAAGTGAAGTTCCCTACAAGCAATTTGTTAACATAGTGCCAGTGCAAAAATACCTATGCTTTGCTGTACAAAGAAACATGAAAAAATATAGACATACCTGGTCCAATGCAGAACGATGCAATGATTGCAAGGATGCAAAATATACTGAGGTAAGGAAGCCAATGCACCGTTTTCTGGGTAGATAAAAGACAATCATGGTAAGTATATTGTACGTACCAATATTAAAAAAATCACAGATAATAGACAGTGTTTTCAACGATTCTTTCTCTATTTCAGAATTTAGTATAGGATTACTTTAGAAAATCACAGTATTTCTGTAGAACTTTATTAGATTATTTGTATTAAAGGTCTTGGTCTCTGTGGAATCCCTGTAGAGAAACACTAGAGAAGCTCTTGCACCACAGAAGTCACAACTCTGAAAGTTTACAACTTCTTGTGCTGAAGTTCAAGCCGTCCTGGAAAAGAGTTTTTCTTTCCATTGAACAGATTTGGCACCTCCATCCTCCTCAGGTATTTCAGCCATGTTTGAAAGGAGCAACTATGATGGCCCATAGAGCTTCAAAGTTCCCCAGTTAAAGGCTGGGCTGAAGTCTAGACACAACAGGCTACCTTTCGGTAGGACAGCTGTATCTGAACCTTAGCAAAGCATGTGAAAGTCACAGTCTAGGGATTTTAGCCATTATCTGATTTTGCAGACAAGGAGGGCCATGTGTGCAAACAACAGGTACAGGGAAAAGAGAACAAACTATAAATGATTCTTTAATGGAATTGTAAATGGAATCATTCTTGAGTTCTCATCTGAACTCAGATCCAAGGTCTCTAAAGGCACTGAGAGAGAGAAGGTGCAAAAACAGAGTAGATTTTTTTTCAAATTCCCCTGAGATCAAGCCTACTTGTACCCTAGGTCCTTTGTTCAAAGCAATACCTAATCTCATACTTAACAGATTGAGACACTTCTGAAAGGAACTAAAACTGGAAGGCACTCAAACTTCAGAGATTTACAATAGCTGAAAGTCCTCACGGATCAGACTAGGTTTTAAAAGATTTGGAACAGAATTTTTTACTGTTTACTTGCAATAACATCTCTCTTCTGGAGAGCTGTCTTCTAGTTGTCATGACAGGTATGTGAAGTAAAGCTTTATTGTGCTGTGCATACAAAGTCAAATAATACTTTGCAATGGTGTGGCAGACACCTGCTAGTCAAACTGACTTACTGACTCTCTTCAACCAAGAAACAAGATTTGAAAGTCAAATTAATGGCAAGACACAGGAATCAACAACAGCAGATAAACAACTTGGTGAAAGACCACCCAAAACCATGCCATTGCAGACTGCCAGTTTTACTTCTCAAAAGCCCTCAGGAACAGAAAGAAACTGCATCCTTATGAAAATGGAAGCTAAACAAGGAAAAATTACTCAGGGTCAGTATTTAGATTGGTTTAATAATCCTCCTCTGACCATTTGAAATAGCTGGGGAACTGACTGCTAATAACATCTGAGAACTTAAGTGCAGATGTTCTGCAAAGGCCAAGTCTTTATATTTTCAATAAAAATATCAGATATATAACTTGAAAGAAACAGCAAACATGGAAATTTTTCACTACTGGAAAAAAACATCCGAACTAAGAATAAGAATGACATATAATGTATGAAAGAAATCTCAAAAAGACAGCATTACAAACAAAGATAAAAACGCAGAGTATGGGTAAACTATTTACCCAAGTATGGGTAAAATTGTCTTCATAATAGTTTATGATATGCACGGATCTTTTGAGTTAAGGACACTGAACGTGACAAAGCCCCTATGGCTTTTTAATGCAAAAGCTGCTATGGCTAACCATAGTAGATTGAAACCAATAGATTCACAAAGAAACAAAAGAGACCTTCAAATCCTTATGTCAAACTGATTAAAAGGACTGGCTTATGTAGGAATGAAAAAAAGCCGAGGCAAACAGGTATCAAGCACCTGGTGTTTAAAATAGGCAAAAGAGAGTAAAAATATGTAGTGACTGTAGTGTTACCTGTAAAGTCAGAGAGACAGTAAGTACTGCGAAGAAGACAACCATCAACCCAAAACCCCCAATGAGAAGAGGCCTGCGTCCGAGCCGTTCAATAACTAAGCCCTGGAAAACAAAAAGCGGCATTTGACTTTCCTGATAAAGCACTGAAGAACTCAGACCATGTAATATGTTCTCCTAGTAAACATGAACACCAAAAATAAAACCATCAGAGTTGATTTTGTACTATTTATCAGGTATGATGTGTTCATAATTGTGTTCACAATTATGTTTACATAATTCAACCTCTTTGAAAAAGCAAGCCAGCATAACATCCTTATTTAAAACCACTGAAAAAAATGGGAAACCATTAAAAACAGTACTTGTTAATAGTTTTATGCTTGGATTTCCTCCTACAGAACAAATATGACCATATTGGTAAGACAAAAAAATGTGCAACTGGTAAATTCAACTTTAATACTGTTAGCGGGGTAGATTTTTAAGTTACTACTACATTAAACTTCTTCCGTAACAATTTAGTAGTAAAACAAGGACTGTACATTAGCTATATAAAAATAATTAATATGATGATAACTACACAAAGTTTGATCTTTTTTCTTATTTATTGTTTATCTTTTTAGGGGAGAAATAACTCTACATTGGTTGAACTGCTTACAAATTTGCACCAAATTCCTATAATAATGTTCTTAAAATATGTAATTTTTTCAGTGTCAAAAAGTTCAAACACTTTGACTATTTAATTTCAACATCTCTCTGAATTTAAGCTTAAAAGGCTTAAAATTTAAGCTTAAAAACTTTTTAGCATAGATTAAATAATTTTTTATTAATCTAAAATTTATTTTTAATTTCTTTTTTGTCCAAACAGAAAGAAACATTTAGTCATGATCTAGGATAGTTAATATAATTGGAATAACCAGATAAAACACACCCACCCGTCAGAAAACTTTGCTCAGACAGGGGATTTTAACACTGATACTTGTGCACTCACGCACATTTTGAATTTATATTTAACACCTGAAGATAAATCAACTTCGTTAAAAGCAATCACAAAATCTGAATACTTATCTGCTAGAGCAGAACACAATGAAGAGATTCTTGAAAAGCTGTAACATGGAACTGTCTTGCCTTTGCTAGTCTGACTCATTAAAATAGGCTAATATATATATATATTTTAGGTCATAACATCTAATGTACTATTCCTGTTGATAACTACTGTAATTGCTAATTACAGTTGGCTTTCTTATGAGAAAGATAAAACAATTCCATGAAGCCTGAAATGTATCACTTCAAATAACCTGAAATCAGAATCACACAACTGTTTGCCACGTCACTATTTACTGGAGCCTGAAATCCCCCTTTCACACCTCCCTCGAGCAGAAGATAAAATGAGCAACTAAAATGAAATCTGGAGCGATACCCTTAATTCTGGGAGACGATGCACACCATTCCACTGTAAGCATCTGGAAGAAACGTGTTAAAGGAAAGTACAAAGTCACCCAGGGAAGAAATGCCTTATGTGGCAAGCACTTCTCCCACAGCATCAGGGTCACCAGCAGATTTTAGGACAGGCTTCAAAACACGCCGACCCTGCACCCTGCCGAGCTGGACTTCCACACTGGAGACACGCACCGTGATGCTGCAGAACATGAAAAGCAGCTCTGGGGTGAGCTTTAGCATTCTTTATTTCTTTAAATGAGGAAATATACTCATTTTGACAGTTTCCACAGCTTCCATAATAGAATTTATTTCAAAGTCATGTTTAAAATAGACCCGCATTGATGTTATTAACATTTCACATTGTGCTCACGGGGTCCAAATGTTCCAAAACTGCAACTGCTGCACTGTCAAAACCTCTACAAGATGCCACATATTTTCCACTATGATTAATGAATCTATCTTGCAAACACATGTGGCCACGCATACACTTAACCAAGAGACATTTTTTATGGCTGTGAGGGATGAAAAGTTATCTGATGGGTCCATAAGAAGACGGAGACTTCTGCAATAGATGCTTCACATGTAATTTGATATGAGTTGCATGTTCAGCAATAGATGCTGCACATGTAATTTCACATACCAAGGAATTTCCCTTATTTTTTTCAATTCTGGATTGGTGGTTGTGATTAAACAATCTTGGTGTTACACCAACTGGTGGGGTTTGTATTAAAACGGGTTAAGGGATGAACGTTTCTCTTAGAGGGAAAAAGGTTCACAGACAGCTCTCATACAGAGCAAAACATGGGAAAAAAGTGCTACATGGTTTCTGGTGTTAAAGCTCAAAGAAAAGCAAACCCTAGTAAGGGAGGACAGTTTGGACTCAGTCCTCCAAAAAGATGTGTGTATGCACTTGTGCCTAAATGCATTGAGAATAAGTACTCTGGACACTTTGGGGCAAATCTAGGTGGGTTGGTGAGAACTCCCAGTTTTAACTGAGAGCAGCCAAGCATAGATACAGTTACAGCAGATCTGCGGGCTCTGTATCCTTTTTACAGAAAAGAATAATAGTTTCTAATAGATTTAAATTCTTTTTTATTCAGAGACAATTCAGGAAGAAATAAAGCAAATCCATGTGCAGTCATTCTTTTCCCTGAGCTGATGCCAGGTTTCCCAAGCATTCATCATTGCTATTTATTTAATACAGTAGCAAGGAGGAACTTGAATGCTTCAGCTTCTGGGCACTCCCTGCAGTTTCTGTTCCTAAGAATTTACAATTACAATTCTTGGTGACATTTCTTGTGATTTACGGAATGGACCAACTTTGTTCACTGGAAAAAATAAGCAGCAATTTTGTCCTTATTCACAGAGATGCTATGATGTACCAGAATTGCTGGGAATCGTATAATCACTTCCAAAGTTGATATGAAGTTAAGTACACTGACAACACTAATAAATCTAGGAAATAGAGACTCAAAAGGCTTCTCAATTAGACATGATTAACTTGCACAGTTATGGGGAGAGAAATGCCTATTTCCATTTTAAAGCTAAGGACACCCCTAATTTGTTCAAATGCGTGACCTGCCACGTGACCTGCCTCTTGTATCACCAGTTCCAACCCAACAAGACACATCTGCTTGTGGCACAGATTCAAACAAGGCACACCAGTCTCTGCTGAAATGGGATACTACACAGAACCAAGCTCAGGAAAAGCCAAGCACAACAATCAAAACCATGCTCCCTACCTGGTTATAAATTACAAAGCGGTGGTCTCGTGAAAGGCAGCATGTGTGTTTGGAAACACACGGGTCTGTGGCTTTGCTGGTCAGGAGGCAATGCAGAAGCATCCCAGGACCCACTGGCAGATCAAAGTTGTTCAGCTGGGAGCCAATCCACAACGGAAAAGCCTCTCAGGAGGCACCATCTTTCATCAAGGCCAAAAAGGTTTTTTGAATCGTTTACGAGCACGGATGCTTCAACAGCCAATCTATCAAGCTGTTTAGGTCTACACTATTTCTAACTAAAATTTTATTTATTTTTGAGGATTTCTTAATAAAACCTATGACAATACATCAGTATCTCAAATTTCTCTGCTGACCTGTTTGTTCCCCTTTTCTTGATGGAAAAAAAAAGCTCAGATAAACTCTTAAGTTTCAGCAAATACTTGAAAAGAAAGGTCTAACGTCTTCTACAAGAGCAAGTTTGCCTGGTGAAAAAAATGCTGGGTTTGAGTTTATAAACAGACAAAAACTTCATTTTTAGTTATGATTATACAAATCCAAAACTTGTTAACTTGCAAACCCATTAAGATGCTTATGACTCATAAGAAGTGGAAGATGATTCACTGGTTTTCCAGTATTTATAGTTCTGAGTTCTCCACTGCTATGTGCTGGTAACTGTTACCTACCAAAGACCTATAACAAGTCAAAATATACTATACGGTAGAGTAAATGAAATAACAAGAAATTCAGTATATGCTCAAGTACAGTCAAAAAAAGAATCTTACAACTGCTTTCTGTGATAGCACACTGAGTTATTTGCCAAATTGTGTAGGCTGATAGTTGTTTATGTGTGATCATAAACATGCATTTGTAGAAGCCTATACCCAGTCATGGCAATTAACACAGCTGAAATTACTGAAAATGTGTAAAAAAAATTTGCAACCAAAATTCTCTCAACACAAATGTTTGGTGATAATAAGGCAACTGATATGCAAACTAAGTTAACAGTTCACACAACTTACTTTTGTCTGGAAGGAAACACTTGTGAATAAAGTTAAAAAAGCAAATGTCAATCTTTTCACTTGAGTCAGCTGCAGATACTGGGGCTGACATAATGAAAGCAGAGCGCATTAAAAAAGATCAGACAAGCTTCTCTGTATAAAATGAATGTGTAAGTGAGTTCTACAGCCCAAATGGGAGGTCACTGAGTACTATTCCCTACTTATTTCCTGGCCCTAAATTATACTAAGAAAACCCTATTACATTTTCTTGATGTCTCAGCTCTGTAAAGAAGTTTGATCTATATGCTAACATCAAGAGTAGCCACATCTTTTTTCTCTCATGTATTTTGGATATAGGTCTGAGTAAGACTGTACGTGTAGATTCAGACTTAATGTGACAAGCTAACTCTGTGTTATTTCCATTTGAGATAGCAGGATTAAAATGGATAATCACATTTATATTGCTGTCAGGTCTATTCATGACACAATGTGTAGTATCTTGCATCCAGGAAAAGGAGAAAAACAGAAGACTGAGGGTTACAAATTGTTTTTTGATTCATATTTTTATGTATAACCATTTACCTACTGTATGAGTTATATACTTGTAAAACAAAGAAACAGGTTATTTTCTTTAAGTACCCAAATTGGAATTTAGAGGCCTAGCACCAAGTTTGACCATCAAAGCACAAGCCTTAAACAAATCTGTGCCTACCCTGGCTCTCACAGCAGTTTGTCTGTATCTGTGTTAATGCCATGACAGGATAAGATCCCACGCATCACCTATAGTTACCAGGCTAAGGATTACTATCAGCAACAGGTGGAATTGATTGCTAAGTTTCTAAGCTCAGTCTGAACTATTTTGCAGTAGAGCATCCTTAATCAGCTTCACTTGGCAGTGAAATTTTCCATTCACAAAAGAGGGTCTCCATACCGAACGCCTGCCGGACCAGCATGACCAAGACATAGCCCATGCAGGGATTCGCTCTAGCTGGCCGCTTTCACCTCAGCAGTGCCTGGGAACAGCCCTTAGGGCAGCACAAAAAAACCCCATTACCTTATTCCTGTTGTGTCCCTGCAGTAAATTCTAGATATTTTTGAAGCAAAGCTCCTTCTGTTGATGATCTATTTGTTAAAGGCACTAAGTTTTGGCTTGTGTCAGGTTCATGTTATAAAAGCTAGACTAGATCTTGTCCTTGATCTATGACAGTTTACCATGGTTGGTGCTTTATTTTCTAATGATGGTATTATTAGTAATAATGGTACATTATTTCTAATGATGGTATTATGATGCAGATCATCTTGAATAGATTGGGAAAAAAACTACTCAAAACCAATTTCTTTTTTTTAATACTCAAAAGCAGGAGATACATCTTTAAAACTTTCAATTTCTGATATATCCTGCAGAAGCATTTGTACTACATAATACAGTCTCTAACCTACTATATCTTGGGTCTTAGGAGTGTTGTTGTAAGGTAGATCTTCATAAGGAGACTTCTTCTCCTGGAAGGCACTACATGGTTATTTCAACACTTGTTATCTTTGTCCATCCAAGAGCCCAAGTGTAATAAAATGATTAAGAAGGAATAATATCTTTATCTAAAAATTACCCCATTGACCACTTGTGGATTAAGGTAGCACGCATTAACACAGTCACATTCTGCGATTCACCCTGCAGTGAAAATGTGCCCACATGCACTCTGACCGTTGACAAATACCATGGTCTGGGAAGCTGCTTGGTCAGTATCTCTTTTTTGTACTGCTGATTCTTTCTGATTACATTTTGCCCAATACAGTGACATAAATCTGAGTATTTTTCCACTCACAAATTTGCTCCATAAAGATTGCACACAGTTACATTTGAGATCTGAACTGAGGATTAATTTGTGACTAGGGAGTAATTACTGACTCCCTGCATCTAAAAGAATTCAGTATCTTATACTCCAAATGAATCACTGAGTATTTTTTTGGATTTCACTTACTAGACTACTTAGCAGTGCTTTTGTAGGACTGAGCAAAGCTTATGTAAATTATCTAAAAATTCATGCAATTGAAATTTTACATTGGCCAAACAAATTAGTGTGGTAGGCAATTTTGGAAGCCAACCGTTTGCTCATGTAGGCAACTGTTAATGGCTTCTTAAAATTACAGATGAGCTGCATAAATATTTCTCTTGGACAAAATTAACAGTCTTTGGTGCCAGGTAACTTTTTCCCCCCAAAATAGGCAGTAGCATATTGACTAAAAACTATTTTTTCACCTCACAATTTATTAGTTAAAATGAGGCTTTTATAATTATGATTACTGAAAATCCCAGAAATCTTGATGAGTTGATGGCAATGTCTGAAAGCACTGGATCTGGGCAGACGGAACACCTATCTTCTGTTATGCAGGGAGAAGGAAGACAGGGTCTGGCTTTCATCCCCTCCAAAACACTAGGATCAATTATTAACTGATCAAACAGTCTGACAGCAGCTAGAGGAGAGCAAGGTGATAAGAACAGTCAAAACAGATTTGCTCAGTGCAGATTAGTGTGACTTCTTTCACTGTTGGGGAGGAAGCTGAGTTGATAGAAAGAAAATGACAAACATCATAGATTTTGACTTCAGTAAGCCTTTTGACACAGTTCCACATGACATTTTCTATTTGTGCAGATGATTTTTTCCTTTCCAAAGTGCAGTACTGGGTACCTTTCCTTGCTGAACTTCATCTTACTGATTTCAGGCCACATGTCTGATTTCTTATGATCTTATGAATCCCCTTGCTTTCTCCTGCTTCTTCTTCCCTTCCTCCCTCTGAGTAGTATATAAACATATGCACCTGACTTAATATTAAATGCTGTCAAATAGATTCAAAAAGAGGTAAAAAGAGCAGCTGAGAGGTTGGGAGTGGGAGGAAATTCCCCATCCTTAGTTCTAGGCATGAAAAAAATTTAGAGGAAGTTACTTGTAGAAATGAGAAGCTGCAAACCCTTCAATTGAAAAACTAAATTCATGCTGTTGTTCCTTTAAACAGCAACAATGAAACATTAATGAAGATTACTGAAATAAAAATTAAGGCTACAAAGCAGCATTTCTCTTGAACTGAAAGGGCAAATTTGAAGGGAGTGGAGATATCAATACATCAGCATTTCCAGAGGCACAGCAAGTAGCTTAAACAGAAAAAGCATTAAAAACACTCCTCCTGGGCATAAAAAAAGTTACCACACATACGAGGAACTAAAGCAGACACATCCACCTCATTATATATGAACAGCATGCTCTGAATAAGCCCCACAAACTGATAGCACAGAAGGAACTGAAAAGGTGACAGACCCTATTTACAGAATGGCTTTAAATATCATGGAATCATCTCAATGTAATTTTCATTTGTTTCCACAAAAAAGAGGTGTATTCTTCACTTAAATCACTGGCAGAATTATCACTATTATTTTTACATATATCTTAAACAAAGAAGCATTTCTGCAGTATCACAAAGAAGAAATTGTAAGAGGTAGGTATTTCCATACTTCACTATTTCCACCTATTAAAAAGAATGTCCCTTTAATTAAAGAAAAAAAAAAAAGATGGTTTACCCAAAAATAGATTTGTGGAAATTTACAAAGATCAGAAGAAGGTCTTTGTGACCTTTGAAGAGTCCTTATGTCCTAGACTATAAGAAAATATACTTGATAGCTGGATTTAGTTTAACATTTTATAGGTCATAAGCAGTTGCTCTGCCACTGGAAAGGATTTTTTTGCCAAAACCATTCTTCTGACATTTAAAAATGCTTGTCTGGTGTGTCCACTATTGTGCAAAGACAGTTGGTATAGAATATAAGAAGATAAGGAAAAATTCTAACAAAGAAAGAAAAGAGTATTTACTTGTTTGCAACTTTCCATTCCAAAGACCTCTCCCATTGTTTCTTATTTATTGCAGTGCAAACAGAAATGTATTTCCTTTAGCAATTAATGGTGTATTCACATACAAAAACTTTCAGGTTTAGTTTGCTCATTTAGTGTATTTTTTTTTTCCTAGTCAAGTTTTCCATTTTGAAATAAGAAAGAAAAAAATGTGCATGGATAATTTTTTCTGTTAACATCCTCCTCTACGTTCAGTGCATAGCAAAGGTACATGACCCACTCAGGAGCCCACGTGTTATGAAAGGATGCCTGCTTGCCCTCAGTGAATGAGATAGCAGAATTTAACACAACGCAACACAATTTAACAGCACGCAGAAGTGTGCTGGCTTACTTTTCCAACAAGCTGGGTTACAAACATTTACTCCCATATTTTTAAATGGCTGAAGAGTTTTCCTCACTGTCCGTAAGCTGCTATACAAAAGGTGTCATTAAAACATGCCCAGTAAGACACATGGCTGTTTCTGGGATCCACACTGAACACACCTAGCTGTACTATGCTTGAGCCTTCTCCAGCAACACTGCCTGCTTCCTAGCAGGCACACGAGAAGACTCTGAGATGTGAATAAACTGCTACCAGGTGAAATAATTTATGAGTTATCACTTAATATACTTCAGGTCTTGCTGTTCCTGCCTTCTTCCTCTTCACTCTTAAAAAGTACCTCAGGATATATCAACTTTTTATGCTACTTTTATGCAACTAAAACTAGAGAGCATCTTAAAAAAAAATCCCAAGCCACAAAACTGGGCTTAGGATTAAACCTAGAAACAGTATTTTCAATTGCTTAATCAACCATTACACTTAATCCTCAACATACTATTGTGTTTATATTTTAACCTGTATAAGGAAATAAGTAGTTTAAATATCAAGCATGTTAATGGATTTTTACAACCATACTTACAGAAAAAACAGCAGCCACAGTCTCAACAGCACCAGTACTTAGAGTAACATAGGGGATTGTTTCATGATTGATCCCAGCTTCACTAAAGATGTTGTTTGTGTAGTACCAGATCTGTATCAGAGAGAAGAAAATGAGTTATTAATCATTATGGCTTGAACTACAACATATCAGTATTCAGTTCAAGCATCTGACCTGCTAACGGCCAGACTTGTTAAAACACTGAGCACTCCTGAATGACCGAGGGCTGGGCAGGACAGCAAATGAAGGGAAGGTGCAAATTTCAGGTGGATTAGTCACAACACTGCTGTACTTCTGCTTGTAGACCCAGGCAGAATTACAAGCAGCTTTAACTCAGTTTAGCTTAATTCACTTTAAGAGTAAATCAAAGAAACTCACTTTAAGCTTGAACAAGAGGATACAAACAGGTTTTGTGTGGCTGAGCCACACTGCTTAAAAAGCAGGTTTGGGTGGCTTTATGGAATACTTCAATGGCACGTAACAACAGAGGAGAGAACAGGAAAGAGATGCTGAGCAGCATGGCAGAAACTGCTCCTTTTCGGACAGAAGGTGTGAGATCCATCTCACACTAACCTCACTGCAGCGTGGACATCTGCAGTCAAGCCATCGCCCTAATCTCTCTTTATTATCAACAGAAAGAAAAGACACTTTTAGAGTGAGAGTTGCTTGGTGAAAAGTAAAAAGCTGCTTTTAGGTTGAAATGATTCATAGGCTAGAAGGAGCTGTCACTAATGGACAGAAACACAGGGAGCATAGCGTTACTAGCTTAGAGAAGTCATTCATGTTTGGTCAGTGAAACCATATCCAGTGGTGACAATATCCAGACAGAGAATATATAGTGATAATACCCTAAAATAACAAGTCTCGTAAGTATCAGAGCCCCATTCACATCACAAATAAAGTCTGAAAACCATATAATATTTATGTTGGACTCAAGGTGACAGCAAAGAACTAGCCAAAAATTTTGGCTGCCAAAAGCATGCAACAAGGAGAGACTGCCTTGGAGAGAGAAAAGATAACTGATTTACTAAAGAAGATGAAGAACAATTAAAACAACTGATTATCAGAAGAAAATAAAGTTCTAAACCACAGCTGATTACCTGCGACAACAAAACTGAAAGCCAGAGAAAATGATGGCACTAAACATAAAAGTAGCAGTGATATTTTTTCCCATATGCTGTCCATGTGACAAGCCCTAACAGGGCAAGCACTGCTAAAGAAAAGGCTTGTCTGATGAATGGAAGTGTTTTGATCGTGTGAGGAAAACCCTGCTGCCTGCCAACATATTATGCACATGCTACATCTGTTCATCAAGCTACTAACTCAGGAACTTTGTGGAGGAAAAAAAAAAAGTAATTCTAAATTCCCAACTAGCCCTTCAGCAAAGCTGCTTGTCCCACACCAAAGAAGAAAATCCAACTCATCTTACATAAAACAAAAGTAAAATAAAATACCAAGGACTGAAAAGTCACCTGTATCACCTTACAGATAAAGAGAAGCTGACTGAAGACTTTTATGCCTACTGCTGGCACACCAGCTCTCACCAGAATAGATACAGTGACAATAAGTGATAGCAGCAAACTTCTCTATATGAAGTAATCTGCCTTCATGTAGAGTGCACTGGTGTTAACTGTGCATTTCATTGGCCTGCTGATACAGACCACAGACTGAAGCAAAACCAAGGATCAGCTCCCAATTCCCTCTGAAATGTTTATGCCCAGTGACAAATTTTTGGGACCCAGTACTCTGACAACTTGTTTACCTCCCATACCTCTATGCAGAATATAAGGAAAAAAAGGTAGCATGAAACCATGATAAAAGTAATTTTTTTCTCCATACTACAAGTTACAAGATTGAAAAATTCATGCAATGAAAGTTAGAAACCATGTAATTTAGGCATTTCATTCTTGATATCAGTTTTGCATAGCAGCTAGAGCTTCTAAAAATGATGGCAGTATTGCAGGTATGCAGACCTTGAAAAAGAAGAAAGAGGCCGAAGAGTCACTTAATCAGACAACTCCTGAATGCAATTTGTCAAAATGTAACAACTAGAACATACGATATTTTGCAAGTGGTTTTACAGAAGAGCATGACTGATCATTGATGGTAAAAGTGGCAGTAAAACAGCTAGATTAACAAACCAGCAGAGCAAACACAGGATGAGGTTCACTGACTTATTAGTCTCTGTAGCAGCACAAAATTAAATTAGGGTAAAAATTAACAAGATGTGCACCTTTCAAAACAATAAAAGTCAATGTTTTTCAGCCTGTGTATCATTAAACAGGGAAATACATTGCTCTAGGATATTACCGAGATAAACTAACTAGGCGAATGATGACTACTCTACTTTCACTTAAGTTATTTGTCTAACATGGTTTTTGTTAGCTAATGATTTCATTAGCTAACAAAATTAGCTAATGATTGGGCTAAAAGTTTTGGAATTAAAGGGCTGTGGAAAATGGGGCAGAAGGTCCAAAAACCTAGAAATAACTGCTGTTGAGTCCAAATCAACACAGGGACATCTGACTTCCTATGTCCATGGTGGGTTGCTGTTGCTTCACAGGCTGAAGTAAAACTTGGCAACTTTGGTCAGTTAAACAGCTGCCATGAGGAACAGCTGTATCTCTGCAGTCTGATTTCTGTGAGTTTGGAGGTAACAATTTAGCATTCTTGTCGGTAGATTACAGTTAGCTGCATGAAAGTTGCTTTCTTTGCTTATCATAAGGTTTTACTCCTATAAGCTCTTAAAGTGGCACGTGTTATACGTTATCAGTGGCGTTCCCAAACTTTCTCACACCATTGACCTCTCTAGCATTGACTCAATTTTCCAGTCCTTTTATTTCTCATCCAGCTCCCTACATACATTTCTTCCTAAGAAATTCAACTCTTCAACAGGAAAAGAAAGCAACAAAAAAAAGATGGGCAACAACACAGACATACACTGTGTCACACACTGCATACTCATCCCTTCCTACACTATCTGATGCCAGGTCTTCTCCATAGCAAATGTGAAGAGCACACTATGGTAGATCTTTTGCACACTGGAAACATGCATTGCTGTTTGGACCCCCATCCCCAGCATGATTTCTTGCCGTTTGAAATACAGCCCTCTACCTTAAGGCCAGACCCCACAGAAGCCTAGGGATCCCACTTTGGGAATGACTCCCTTAAAGCAATATGCAGTACAGTATATTTCTTGATATGAAAAAGGATAAAGTTCACCAATGAGAACATCACTGTAGTTTTGTGTCTTCTTTAGAACTGAGATACAATGATGGAAGACAAATAGATTTATTATGGATGATATGTATCATGGATAAATTTTATCAGATGAAAAGAGACTAATACAGATTCATTTATTTACGTCAATTTAGGTAAGACTGTCTGGTATTTTATTATAATTGAATACATTAATATAATCAGGTCTTCACCAGGATTTCTGTTCCATGTGGAAACCAACAAATGTGCTGTTTTTAAGTAAAACAAATTTTTATTGTAAAGTGAAAGCCTTAAAAGGAAGCAAGTGTTCTCAGATACCAGCAGGATGATTACAGAAGTCTGCCAGTTGGTAATTTCCCCAGAGAGTGACCTGAGACTCTTGCCTGAAAGAAGTCCAACTTTCCCATATGCCCTGCCCAGATGGTAGCTGTGGAAAAGACCAGACTGACTCACAGGGCACTACAGACAAAGCAAATGATGAGAGCTATGAGTTAGAAGGAAGCGTTTGCAGCCAGTTAAACCTTGCTGATGCTGGCTCATACCCAGCAGGTTAGCTCAGATGCAGCCAGGCAAACCAAGACCCAGGTTCAAATCTGTCACACCTGTACCTGCCCATTAATCTCTGAGCTTCAGGCAACTTGAGCGAGATCAGCCAGGAAAGCCATGCAGAAGAGACAAGGAATTGAAACCTGATCTCTCAATCAAGTGGTCCAACTATTTCTCTTGACCTCTCTTATCATTTGCTTGTTTTTCCTGGATGAACGATTTAAAAAATCAATTTCAGAATTCAGATTTTGTGTGAATAATTTTTTTTCATGTTTAGTGGCATTATATGGCAGGAGAAACAAGGTAATAATAAAAAAAAAGGTAAGGCTTAAAACAGCCAAGTTGTTTCCTGACAAAAATAGTTTTTCTGAGGCATATTTTCAAAGTGGCCACCTAATGATACTTCAAAACAACTCTGGTATTCATTTTGGACTGGACATGTCTCACTATCCCCCCACGCCCCCACTCAAGCTGGGAGAGTGTGGCTTTGTTCTGCCATGGAATACTGGACAGTATCTGTCATCTATTAAGTGTCCTCAAAGCCATGACACTCTTCTCTTTCCCCTGAAAAATTATCTGTGGCATTCTTTTTTTTTTTTTTTTAGGAAACGTGCTTCATTATTTTAAGTCTGTTTTTTACTGTAAGTGTCATTTTATTTCACTTATGCATTGATAAATCTTAGAAAGACTGGATGACAAGATAATTCCATTTCTTTTCTTAAAAAAACATCCACAAGGAGGAACAAAATAGCCTGTCATCAGCAGCAAAATCCTACAATTAGAAGAAAACACCACCTATACAAACATTTTTATATTTCACTCCACAGTATGAAAGAATCTTCTAGTTCCCTCCTAGTATTTCATTAAAAACTTTTAGATACCAGAGTTCTAACTGCATTAATCTTTCACACGGTCTTGGACAAATTACTTTGTATTAGGAGTTTTAAGGCTATAGAGCTACCTGAGATAAGCCTGAACTAGTTGTCTTAGATATCAGAGGCATTTACATTTATTATCACTGATTAGCCCTGGGGAAAAAAACTAGCTGAAGTATGCTGTAATGCACAAAGCGACAGTGAGAGCTCCTTTCAGCAGCGATAATACTGCCTTTCATGTACATAAGCAATTAACGCCTTTGAACTATGACGAAAACCCCTTTTGCTTTGAGGTGCTTCATGAGAACATTCATGTTGTACAACGTAAAGAATCTAACCCAGATGTCACAAGCTGCAGCAAGGAAAGTTCTGTCTGGATATAAAGAAAACACTTTTCACAGTGTAAGTAGCGAAAACACCTGGCACAGGTTGCCCAGGGAGGCTGTGGACTCTTCAACCTTGTTGAGTTTTAAATATCTCCTGCACAAGGCCCTGTCCTGGTTTCGGCAGGGATAGAGTTAATTTCCTTCCTAGTAGCTGGTACAGGGCTGTGTTTTGGATTTAGGATGAGAACAAAGTTGATAATGCACTGATGTTTTAGTTGTTGCTAGGTAATGCTTACACTAGCCAAGGACTTTTTGGTTTTCCATGCTCTACCGACTGAGAAGGCTGCAGGTGCACAAGAAGCTGGGAGGGGGCACAGCCAAACTGGCCAAAGAAACATTCCATACCATGTGACATCATGCTCAATACATAAACTGGGGAAAGCTGGCCGAGGGGCCGCTGCTCGGGGACTGGCTGGGCATCGGTCGGCGGGTGGTGAGCAACTGTACTGTGCATCACTTGCTTTGTCTATTATTATTATTATCATATTATTATTATCATTTTATTTAATTATTAAACTGTTTTTATCGCAACCCATGAGTTTTTCTCACTTGTGCTTTTCCAATTCTCTCCCCCATCCCACTGGGTGGGGGGGAGTGAGCGAGCGGCTGCGTGGTGCTCAGTTGCCAACTGAGGTTAAACCACGACAGCCCTCAGTAGCCTGAGTCAACCCTGAAGTCAGTCCTGCTTTGGGCAGGGTGTTGGACCAAATGACCTCCAAAGATCCCTTCCAACCTAAATTGTCCTGTGACCCTCTCCTAGCTGATGCAATAGGGTCAGACAGATGGAAAAGGAGACTTTGATATCCATTAGCCTCAGACACATTAATGGTCAACAGGACTTCTCACTATTGACCGTTTTGTGTCTTTTTTCCTCTTTTGCTCCACTGTCCAAGAAAGGCATATTGAAGTGCAGCTTATTCTTCAAATTGTATGAAACAACAACAAAAACCAAACATCCAGTGCAACCTCTTAAAATCACTTACCAGAACTTTTGCTGACTTCTATAAGCACAGAACTGAATTAATCCAAGCAGAAACATCTACTGAAAAGACCAAGTTTACCTACCTTGAACAAACATGGGGCCAGATCTTAACTGACCAGAAACAGAGAATCTGTGTATCAGAACCAGAAGCTG